GTGTGTGTGTGTGTGTGTGTGTGTGTGTGTGTGTGTGCGTGCGCACGCGCGCACGCAGGTGCTCCCTCCAGACCTGGCGCGAACGCATCCTTCCTCCCGCCTCCGCGCTGTTGTCCAGGAAACCCTGGCCGCCCGCCGAGTAGCCTGCAGACTGGGGGAAAGGGCGGGGCCCAGGGCTGGGGGCGGGGTCTCCATTAACCATTGCCTCTCACCCCTTTACCCTCGGCGCCGGCCGGCCGGCCCCCCTCGGTGCTCCCGCTGCTGTCCGCCGCCTACCGTCCGGCTCGTCGATCCGTCCGTCCGTCCGTGCAGAACGTGGTTATGTCCCGGGAGCCGTTGCTCGGGGGCTGCGGGCTGGGGGGGGCAGCCCTGGCGAGCTGCCTGGTGGCGGTGGCCGTAGCGCTGCGCTTCTGGGTCGTGCGGGGCCGCCGGCAGGCGCTCCACAAGGCCTGCAGCCAGCAGGAGGCGGCCTTGGAGGCCATGGGCCGGAGCGTGGGAGTGTTCCGCAGCCAGGTGAGCCCCCCGGGAGGGGCGGGGCGGGGCGGGGCGGGGCCGGGCAGGTGCGCCCGGGACAGCGGGCGGGGCGGGGGGCGTGGGGGATCTTCATCTGGCCGCTGCGCTCGGTCACCTGGGTCCCCCTCCCCCACCTCCGCTGTACAAGGCCCCACCCACGACCCAGTCCTCTGACCTTTGGCCTCCACTGACCAGACTCGGAACTACTCTGGCATACTTACATAGGGACCGGTGTGGGTCTGAGGAAAGGGCAGAGGGGGCCCCAGGATGGGGGCAGGGAGGCCCAAGGTCTGGGCCTGGGGAGCACCGGTCTCTTCCAGTTCTGTCCTTGATCCTGGCATCTTCCCTGGGGGTACTTAACCTGGATTAGGTTTCTTTGGAGGGTCGGGGGTGATTGGAAAAGTTCTGCTTGGTTCTAGACGGGAGAACTAAGCATGGTAGGGACAGGAAGAGGGCAAATATAACAACCAGCGCTGTCTCCCAGGAGAATGGCCTGCCGTGGTAGGTGGTGAGCCCCCCCCCACCACTGAAATATCCAAATCAGGTGCCCGTCTCTCAGGGATGGTATAAAGGGAGAATCTCAAGGGAGGAAGTGTGGATAAGTCCCACTCAGTCTAAGTGACCATCCAGGGTTACGCAGCTAGTGAGTGCTGGAGTCAGGAGTAAAACTTAGGTATTCTGCCTCTTGATAAACAGCATGGAATAGTCTAGACAGAGCATTGGGCCTGGGTTTCAGTCCTGCATCTTCCGTTTAGTAGTTCTGTGACTGGACAAGCTCAGTTTGACATTGGACTCAGTGACCTCTGGGGTTTGTCCCAGCTCTAAGTCTGGCATTTTCCTTATTATCCATAACACGGGGTACTCCCATCTTCTCTTGGCCAGTCTGGTCTGGGGGGCTCTCTTTTTGCCACCCCCACCCCCCCCAGTCAGGGGCCCATATTGTCCTCGAGCCCTCCCATGGATCCTTCACCCAGGGAGGCAGCAGCTTGCCCATGTCTGCCCCCAGGGAGCCATGGCATGACTGGTCCCATGTGGGTGCAGGGGACCAGGGCCTGCTAGGCTGCACAGCTACGTTGAGCCTTGTTTTTCTCTTGGGGCCCTCAGAACCCAGGGCTAGACGAAGAGACTGTACTGGCCCTGCCCCTGGCCCAGCTGGTCCAGAAACTCAAGAACCAAGAGCTGTCCCCAGAAGCCGCCCTCTGCAGCTACTTGGGCAAGGTAAGGGGGCTGAATGCCTTGGCACAGACAGAACTGGGCATGGCCCCCAAAGTAACTGCCAGGCAGCAGCACTGCTGGGCCCCCGCAACAAGGTCAGGTGGATGGCAGAGCCAGAGGGAAGTGGGTGTGCTGACCACTGCACTGTGTGGGGGTGGGGCTCCCTCAAATCCACAAACACTTAACAGAGCTCCGGGAGACCCCAGGCTGAACTTGGGCACTACCCAGGACTTGCCAGGAGGAGGCTGGGGTCCTTCGTGGTGGCTGTGAACCATGTGTGGATGACTGAGTGTGTCTGGGAGTGTCATCGTCCCAAGTGCTCTTGGGTGGATCTTCCTTCTCCCAGCCTTGGTTTCTTCTTTCTTCCAGCTTAGGGGATCCCATCTCCCCAGCCAGATTGGGTGCTCCCTGAAGGCAGGTCCCAGCTGGACCCAGAACTTTGGGGATGTTCTCTTCCCTTTCAGAGTCTCTTCCCCCTTTTTTTTTTTACCATAATAGGGCTGGCTTACAGTCTCTTGGGTTCCTTCCTGCTCTGGGTTCTGGGTTTTAAGGACTGACTATACGGGGTGGGGTGGGGGGTTCCAGACCAGGCCACGGTCAGGAATTGATTTGGTGCTCATCCCCTGGCCAGGCCTGGGAGGTAACCAAAGAGATCAACTGCGTGACCAGCTACCTGGGCGACTGCAAGGCCCAACTGGCAGAGGGGGCCCAGCAGCCCGAGGTGGGCGGCCTGCTGTATGGGGTCCCCATCAGCCTCAAGGAGTGTTTCCAGTACAAGGTAGGACACTCCCTCTGCTTCTCGGGGCCTCCCTGTTCCCATGTCAAATGGAAGCAGTGAGTGTGTGCCATCCTGGAATGGAGGGTGGGTTTTGTGGGGGGAGCCAGAGGATGGTAGTGTGGACTCTGTGATGAGTATTGGGCTGGATGGCAGTGCTCCCTGGTATTTCCCCCACCCCACCTCTGTCTGGCCCTAGGACCAGGATTCCACCCTGGGCCTGTGCCGGAACATTGGCTTCCCGGCCATGGAGGACTCCGTGGTGGTGCAGGTGTTGAAGAAGCAGGGGGCTATTCCTTTTGTGCACACCAACGTGCCCCAGTCCATGTTCAGGTCAGTGGCCAGGAGCTGAGCGAGGAGGGTCAGTGGTGGTAAAGGCCCAAGCCATGGGGATGGAGAGGGAGAACCCGCAGGACTTGGTGACCCGTTGGGGCTGCAGGGAGGGAGCTCATAGTGTCTTCTTCGAAGTCCTAGCTGTGGGTTTCTTCCCACAGCTACGACTGCAGCAACCCCATATTTGGCCGTACGCTGAACCCCCTGAACTCTACCAAGAGCCCTGGTGGGTCTTCAGGTGGGGAGGGTGCCCTCATAGCGAGCGGTGGATCCATCTTGGGCTTGGGTACCGACATTGGGGGCAGCATCCGCTTTCCTTCGGCCTTCTGTGGCATCTGTGGCCTCAAGCCTACTTCAGGCAGGATCAGGTATTGGGCTGGGGAACCCTGGAGGCAGGGGGACCCCATCGAGGTTCCCTCAGCTAGGAATGAGGGGCATAGGTCCCATGTCCCTGGGCCCCTTTCAAGTAAAAAGCCTGTGTTCCTCTGTGACTTGGGATTGGCCTGCAAGGAAGGGACTCTTCTCCAGCTCCTCTCTCCTGTGTCCTGTCTGTCTCCCTTCTCTTTCGCTCTCTCCTCTCCTTCATCCTTTTCTTTCTCTCTGTCTTTCTTTTTATGTCTCTGTCTCTCTGTCCCCTCTCCCCCCTTCTCTGTCCCCTCCCCTTCTCTTCTCCCCCTTCCCTTTCTCCATCTCTCTTGAGGTTGAGTCTGCAGCCACTCTACCAGGGAAGGGGGGTTTGAGGCTGGGGAACCTTGCTATGCCCATGCTGCCCCATCCTGATGCCCTGCTCCATAAGAGGGTGCCCCCCAGCTTCCCTCTCTCCTTCAGAGGGCTCTTTGTAGACTCGGAAGGAGCTGGCATGCCATGCAAATGTTGTTCCTTCTCTTACTTTCTAGCAAGCGTGGGATGAAGAACTGTGTCGATGGGCAGCTGGGAGGTGAGGCATGCAGTAGGTGGGGAGGGGCACTCATTTTGGGGAGTGAAGCCCAATGGGTGGTCCTAGGGTATGGGGGCAGGGTCTGGGCCACAGCTCTCCCACTGCAGACAAAACTGTTCTTCTTGTCCTTCCCTGCTTCCAGGGGAGGACAGCTTTGTCCATCAGGCAGGTCCATTGTCTGAGCCCAGAGGCATTGAGGTGCTTGGGGCCTCATTTTCCTTGTCTGTAGATCATAGATAGAGGGTGAAAAGGGGAGAGCTCTCTTTTGTCCTGCTGCAGTTTGGGATGGATGTCTTGGGCTTGGCAGAGTGGGCAGACATGCCATGGCTACACTCAGGGTCCTCTGCCAGTCACTGGGGACACACAGATCACAAGGGGATAGCCCCCTAATTTGTGAGAGCCCCTCTGCCTTGCCCAGACCACGCCTAGCCTGACCAGAGGCACTGATCCTGGGGGTGGGCTGGGCAGTCACTCTAGTGACCAGGTGACATGGAGCCTTCTCTCCCCAGTCCTCACATCTGTGGGGCCCATGGCCAGGGATGTCAGCAGCCTGGCCTTGTGCTTGCGGGCATTGCTATCTGAGGACATGTTCCTCCTGGACCCCACAGTGCCCCCGATGCCCTTCAGGGAAGCGGTGAGTGAGGGCCTACCCTGGACCTCTGGTTAATGGGCTGCCAGAGAGGGCTGGGGTGAAGGCAGGGGCTTGGGGAGGGCCCCCTCAGGCCTGAGAAGAGGAGACCCATCCCTAGATTGGAAGCTTCCAGGTCCCGTCCTCCTGTGGGCTCTGCAGCATCAGTGTAGGGGAGCATTGGATCTCTGGGTGTTTGTCCAATGTCTGATTTCTGTGGAGCCTTGAGAAAGCAGGTGGGAAGACTTAGGGAGGGCACGGGGCCCCACTGCTCCTCCTTCCAGCTCTATGCCGGCAAGAAGCCTCTGCGGATCGGTTACTATGAGTCTGATGGGTATACCATGCCCAGTCCCTCCATGAAGCGGGCAGTGCTGGAGATCAAGGCACTCCTGGAGGCCGCTGGCCACACGGTATGTCGCTGTTGGTGGCCCACCTCTGGGGGGAGGCCCAGCCAACTGAGTGCCAGCCCCAGCCCATTACAGACCCATTTTGTTTCTATTGGGTTTTGAGGTTTACAGGGGATGGGCTGGAAAAGATGGGAGGGATGGAGTGTCAAGATTATTACCCCCATTTTCAAGAAGAAGGCACTGAACTTCTTAGCAGTGAAGGGACTTGTTCAGGGTCACAAAGCTTTGGAGGGATGTCATGCTTGCTGCTGTACCCAGGCCACTCTCAGAATCCTCCCAATACCAGTCTGAGGGCCCTGGCCCCTCTCCAGCCCTTGGATGCCGTTACCATCAGGAGACAGGTTACAAGAGGTGGAAGAAAGAAATCTATTCTCTGTGCCATGAGGACAGCCTCTCTTGTGTTCCCTGGGTGGATGGAGCTGACTCCTGGGCTTCCTGGCCTAGAACTTGCCTGTGGAGCCTCTGGCCTCCTCCCCACCCCTCAGTCCCTTAGGAGAAGGTGCTGCCCACAGGAGGCTGGGCTGGTCAGTAGGGCCAGTAGGGAGCAGCCCCTGGAAATTCGCTGGCTGGTTTTCATATGTGGTGGGAGTCTCATTGGGGACCCCCCCCAAGGCTCAAATGAGTTCATATTTGTAAAGCCCCTAGCCCAGGACCTGGCACACAATAGGTGCTTATTAAGTGCTGGTTCCTTACCTTTCACCTCCCCCTCTTTGTGCTTTGTTTTCTATCCCCATAAATGAGGGGTTGGCGTTGTTGATTTCTAGGGGTGTTTCCAGCACTAATGAGCTCTCGTTTTTTTAAATTGATGCCTTTTGTTTTTTTGATTTTTTTTTATATCACCTTTATTTCTGAACAGATCACTCTCCTCCTCAGCCTTCCCTTGTAACAAAGATTTTTTGAAAACCAACCAGCATGAGCGTGTGTGGACTGGCCCCTCCCCATGATCCCTCACCCCTGCAGTGATGGGAGGAGGTCCATTTCCTCAGGTCTTTGCCATAGCCAGGCTAGGTGGAACCTTGGCTTCTCAGGAGCCCTCTAGAGACAGTGCCTGCCCTGTTGTTGTTTGTGGCTTGGGGGCAGCCGGGCTCTTGGGTGCAGGAGTCTGGGGAGGGCTAGGCAGGGATCTGTGGGGGGCAGACAGGCAGGGCCTGGGTGGTGAATGTCAGGGATCTGGCCTTGGTTGGCTCAGTGACCTCTTGCCTCAAGTGACCTCTTCTGTGTCCTTCAGCTCGTCCCATTCCTGCCTTCCAACATCAGTTATGCTGTGGAGAAGCTGATTCCTGGTGCGCTCTTCTCTGATGGAGGCAAGGCCTTCCTAGAGAACTTGTGAGTGTGGGCGCAGGCCGCCCTCAGCAAGAGGGAGGGTGACCCTAGGGACAGCTTGGATGTCCCTACTCATGTTGTTTAAGCCTCCCTCCCCTTCAACCATGCGAGAGGCCAGGTGAAACGAATTGTTCCCATTTACCAGGAACAGAGAGGGACTGCAGTTTTTCCTGGGTCACATAGCAAAGGAAGTTCAGAGTGGAACCCAGACCTTCTGTAGGCTGGGGGCAGATAAACTGAGGGATTGGGCCCCATGGGATTCTGTAAGCCTCATTTCCTGGTGGAGAGAGCCCTGGGCCAAGTGAATGAAGGCAAGTCCTTCCCTTCCCATGGGCCTGAGCTTTGCATCTTCTCAAGGGAGAGTCCTGGAGTTAGTGGGTGGCCTTTGAGCTGTGTGGCTTTGGGTGAGTCCTTAACCCTCACTCCATCGTCATAGTCACAACAGCTCATATTTTAATAAAGTGCTTTAAGGTTAGTGGAACACTTTGTTCTGGCCAGGTAGGTGCTGTTATGATGCCCATTTTACAGATAGGGAAACTGAGGACAAGGGGTCCCTCCCCCCCACCCTCAGGCTGTTGTGAAGCTCCTTTGAGATGATGTCTGTAAAGTGCTTTGCCAGTTTTAAGATAACTCTAGAGATTCCAGCTCCCTCCCCCACTTTGCCTGGTCAAAAGCTGGAGCACAAAGGCCATATAACGCCGAGCCCTGTCCTGGTACCAGCTTGACTCCCACTCCCCCCTAGAGGCTGGGTGGGCAGCACCCCTTTGAATTCCCAACCCCTGGCCTTGGAGGGGCTCTGGTCCAACACTTGCGGGAAGCCCGACTCCAGCGGAGCTCCCGTGTCTCCCCCCACAATATGCGTACCTTGCTCCCTGCCACCTGTGTTCTGTAGGGGGTGGTGGACCTGGCCTAGGGAGGCTCATTCCCTGCCCTGTTACGTCTCCACCTCTTCAGCAAAGGTGAATCTGTAGATCTGTGCCTGGGGGACCTGACCATCATCCTCAGGATGCCCAATTGGATCAAAGGACTGTTGTCCATGCTCCTCCACCCTTTGGTGAGCTGAGGGGGAGGGTAGTCCCATTCTCTTGTTGGTGTGCATGGGGAGGCCACTGGGCCCCAACTTCTCCCCTGCCTCTTGTTTCCCAATTCTGAGCCCCTGCTATATTCTGAGCATTGGACTCGTCTGTGGGAGGAGCCTCTGCCCTTGTGGGGGGGGGTGGGGGGTGGGAAGGGCTTCTCTTGGTTCTCTCTCCTCTCCTGTGGCCAGTGGTAGGGGTCTGGCTTGGGCCTATAAGCAAGGCATGATCTTCCCTCTGTACAGCTCCCAAGACTGGCAAACTTCCTCTCCAGCTTGAAGTCCCGGTAAGGAGGCTACCCAGGCCCCAGCTTCATCCCCACCTGGGAGCTCCCCATCAGGGAAGTAGGCCCAGAAAGGTAGTGAGCTGCCTGACACTGCAGATACCCAAGCAGGGACTGGGTGACTACTTGTCTTGTCCAGGAGGGAATTCTTTTTCGGGTTCGGGCTGGGGTAGTGCTCTCTGAAGGTCTGTGACTCCAAGCCAGGCCCAGAATAGGGCCTCAAGGGCGGTCTCTTTCACCTGAAGAGATAAGGAAAAGCCTTGACGTTTATCCTCAGCCCTCCTGGCGCCAGGCTCAGCATCTGGCCTTGTTTTTGTACTTTCTGAGCAACCACGTGTCCACATATGTCATAGAAGTGGTTCCCACCCAGGTGTGGCTTAACTAGGTGCCCATGAGGCTCCTTCTAGGATTGAGCCCCTAAAATTCTGAGACCTCAGAAAGTGACAATCTGGACAGCTTCTAGAAACTCCTGGAGGGAGGGGACCCCCTGCCACAGGGGCAGCAGTTGAGGGCGGGCGTTATGGCCTCTGAGGACCCTGTTACCCCTTCCAGGAACATGGTCTCTGCATTAGGTCCCCATTGGTTTGAGCCAGTTGGCCTGGGCTGGGCCTGGCTTTGGCTGCCCCCTGGTGGCTCAAACCAGTTGAGTCAGGCTGGGAAATTCCAGACTGGACTTTGTGGAGAGCAGAGCTTACATATCTGCCAGAGGATCTCTGCCAGCCTGAGACGCAGTTGGGGGATTCTCCTGTGTGGGTGGTGGGCACAGTAGTGGGGGGGGACTCCAAAGGCTCCAGTTGAGTAGGGGGTGGTGGTAGGAATGACAGGGGAGCCTCCCTGAGGTCCCAGCTCTCTTGCTTCCTCTCAGCTCCCCAAGGTCATCAGGGCAGCTTGGCCCTTACGGCCCTGGGAGCTGAGCTCTGGGTCTTGGCTCTGCCCCAAACCCTACTGACGCTTCTTTATCCCTGGTTTGCTTGTTTGTCCCTGACCTGTGTCCTAAGCTTAAGGACAGGGCAGCAAAAAGCACCCTCCATTGGGATGCAGAGAGTGGGGGGAGGGCCAAGCCTCCAGACTTCTGGTGCCTCAGGGTCCACACATCAGAAATGGCAGCCTGGAAAAGCTCATTTGGGAGGGTAGAGTCAAAGAATTTCACAGTCAGAGGCCTGCAGCCCTCCTCATGCCCCAAAGGAGTCTCATCGTAACATACCCAGCTTTGTGAAGGGATGCCCACCTCCTCCAGAGGCAGCTTCTGTGGGACAGCTCTCATCGTTGGGACGCAGCCTGAATCTGCTTTTCTGCAACTTGGGGGCCAAAGGAAGGGTTCCCTTCTGTCTCTAAGTCTTAGGTGCTTTGTCCCTGGAGACCTAAAGGGAGGGGCCCATCCCTTCAAGGGCTCTGAAATAGAGAGGTAAACTGAGGCAAATGGAGGCCAGACTGAGGGAGGAGTTGGCAGGGGTTCATAGGTGTGAAGAGCTGGAAGGTACCAACTCTAGTCTGACCCACTGTTGTCAGATGAGGTACCAGGCCCAGAGATGGTGGGGGGAGGGGGTGTCATTTCTCTGGGTGGGGTTTCTTCCTCTCTTTCTTCTAGGTCGGCTGGGGATCTTTGGAACTTACATCACGAGATTGAGGTGAGGGAGGGCCAGGTGCCCCAGCATTGGCTGGTTGACCTCTGGGGCACAAGGTGACAGTGCTTGGCACAGTCCAAAGATGGCAGGCTGACCTCACCAGAGCCACCCACAGCAGGGTCAGACAAGGCTGCCAGGCTAGGGACACTTGGGGCTGACTTGGGATGACTTGAGACTGAGCAAGATTGGCAAATCTTCTACTTAGTTAAGCGCAGCCTGCCCACTTGCCCCTGGGATGCCCTGACTGGGGGTCTCTACTTCCATTCCCCCCATGCCCCATGGGGAAGCCCAGGCTGTGATAAGGAACAGTAGGCTGTGCCTCTGTGGGTGGTGGGACCCTTCTTGTCTGTCTCAGCCCCAGAGGACTGTCCTTGGGCCATCTGCCCCTCACCCTGCCCTGATTTCCCCAGTTTAATAGTGCCCAACCCTTGGTATAGGCTCGCTGTGAGAGAAAGAGACGTACCAGAGCGGGGTTGCTCTCCGGGAACTCCTAGTCTAATTTGAGAGGCAGGACATGTGCCCAGTGATGAGATCTGGGTCAGGGCTGCAGAGTTCTCTGCAGGCTGGGATACTCAGGAAGGGTTTCTGGAAGGAGGCCTCCGAGGGAGGTGAGGGGCAATCTGGGAGGCAGCAGCAGGCCCTTCTCCACTCTGGAGTCTGAAACAGCCCACTTCTGGCTTCTGACTCATTTCTGCTCTTCTTTCCATCACCCCCTCCACCCCCTAGCCTGGCCAGCCCTATCTCCTGTCCTCCTCTGTCCAAATCCTCCCCTCCCCCCCAAGTTTATTGTTTCCAAGATGACAAGGGAGGGGATGCTGGGTGACTCAAGGGGTTGTCTGGCTTTCCTGCCTTCTGATTCTAATACATTGTGTGACCTTGGCCAAGTCCTTTCTCTCTGGGCCTCAGTTTCCTCCTCTATTAAATGGGGATCCATGAAATCCTGATCTTGCAGGGTTATGGGCAAAGTGCTTTGGAAACTTGAAAGCCCCTTGGTCTGCCTGCTTGTCCTCTTGTCCCCCAATCCCTATTTCTCCACCTAGAAATACCGTCACAGTGTCATCAACCAGTGGAAAATGCTGGATTTGGATGTGGTTCTGACCCCCATGCTGAGCCCTGCCCTGACCATCAACTACCCAGGCAAAGCTACAGGTGGGACTTCCATGGCTCGGCCTGCCCCAAGTACCCTCCTCCCCCCACTTAGACTGGGCCTACTGTTCATCCAGGCGTCCTCCTATGTGGGCCCAGATCTAGGCTTGTACCCTTAGGGTGGAAGAAGAGGACTGAGACAGCTCAGGCTCTGAGTTCTGAACTTTAGACTGGGCAGGAACGTCCTTGGGGATCAGTCCTGGAGAAGCTGGCACTGGGGACCCAAACCCTTCAGCTCCCTCTCTGTTCCCCAAGGTCATCTGGTCATCATGGGCCAGAAGGAGAGATCTGTACACCCAAGAATCTGGAGTTGCAGTTTCCAAAGGGTCCCCAAGACCCTTTCCGGGGGGCCATGAGGTCAAAATTATTGTCATAATATTACTTTGTTGTGTTGAGTTGTGTCTAGCTCTTTGTGACCACATGGACCATATTGACCATGGGGTTTTCTTCGCAAAGATGTTGGAGTGGTTTGTCATTTTCTTCTCCAGCAGATTAAGGCAAACAGAAGTTAAGTGACTTGCCCAGGGTCACATAGCTAGTAAATGTCTGAGGCTGAATTTGAACTCAGGTCTTCATGACAGGCCCAGTGCTTTATGTATTGTAGTGCTACCTAGCTGCCCCATAATAATGCTAAGATGTTTTAATTTCTGAAATGGTAAATATTGATAGCTATAACCCACATCAACAAAAGGTTTTGGGTGGGGGATCCTTAATTTTTAAGAGTGTAAGGGGATCCTGAGACCAAGAAATTTGAGAACTACTGATCTAGAGCTTAGGAGGTCAGGGCTTGGTGAAGTAGAGAAAGTGGGTTCCCAGAGAGGGGCTATCCTGGGCCAGGTCACACAGTAATCAGGAAAGTGGCTTCCCTTGGACTAGGGGCTGGTCCCTCTTCCTGGGCCCAGGACAGGGTCTAAAGGCCTGTCCCTCTGGCTTCATCTTCTCTGACCCAAACTTGAGGCATTGGTATCTGTTTTCTGCCCATTTGAAGGTCTGTCTCATGAACATCAGATTGCAGGTAACACCCTTCCCCCCCCCCCCCCAAAAAAAAGCTTGGAGGGCCTGATTGTTTTCAGCAGGAGTCTGACGACTAGAGGGTAAACTGCCTGCACCTGGGCCACAGTGGAGTCCCTGCCTCCTCCTCCTCGTGGTATGGCCCCTTGGCTGACCTGGCTACCTGACTGTTTCAGGGGCTGTGAGTTATACCATGCTCTATAATTGTCTGGATTTCCCTGCTGGTGTGGTTCCCGTCTCCACGGTGACCCAGGAGGATGAGAAGAAGTTGCAAAAGTATCGAGGCTACTTTGGGGACTTTTGGGACTTGAAGCTCGGCAAGGTGAGTCTCTGCAGGTCTCCAGGTTCTACTCCCAGGCTCTGCTCATTGGGAGGTCACGCAGTCCAGCCCCCTCATCTTATTGACACAGTGGAGCCCAGAGAGCTTTGGAGAGGGGCCAGTGTAGGCTCTGACTGAGGGTCACAGGGTAAGTCAGGGGCACAGCCAGAACCCTGGTCAGACCCCTCTAAGTAGCTGGTCTTTCTGTGGCTTTTTGATGCTTCCTCTCCCCCTCAGTCCTTCCCGTGAGAGAGTGGAAGTATGGTCCAGTGGGTAGGGCACTCATTAGCCTTGTGACTCTGGGCAGGTCACCTCGGTTCTCTGGGGCTCAGTCTATCCCTTCTAGCTCTCAATCTAAGGGTGGGGTCTGGGTCTTTCTTGGAAGCAGTGGCATCATGGCCCTGGACTTGGAGAGAGAGCCCTGCCATGGTCAGGTCAAGGTCATGTGGGCTGGAGATGGAACAGGGTGGGTTGGGGTAGTCCCTTCTTTTTCTCTGGGAACCAGGTGCCTCCCCTTTTCTTCACCCACAGGGCCTGAAGAATAGTGTGGGGATGCCTGTGGCGGTCCAGTGTGTGGCCCTGCCATGGCAAGAAGAGCTTTGCCTCCGATTCATGCGCGAGGTGGAGAGGGTGAGCCAAGAGGCCAGAAAGCAGACATCGAGGCCTTCTGGGCCTTACTGAGGGCCGAGCAGTCCCCAGGTTAAGCCCTGGCCCTCTCTTCTCAGCAGCCACCTTCAGTCTTCAGCTGGGGCATCAGTAGCTCCAGTCCCTCTAAAGCCATGAGTTTAGACACCCTCTCCCCCTAGACATCCCAGTCCAGTTCTCAGGGACAAACCCCTTTTTCCCTCCCCATACTCCCCTAGTTCCCCCATGAATGTTACAGACCAGAAATGGTCCCAAGCAGGAGAGACTGGAAGATCCTGTGCCTAACTTTCAAAATAATAATAATTGCAGGGAACAAGTTGGGAGTCCTGGTTTTCATTGGTTACTTAGATCAGCGCCGATGGGGCACATGGTTGGGGTGCTGGGAGCTGTGGTGATAGCCCAGTGCTTATGAAAGTGTCCCCAGAATAAATACACAGAAAGTAAATGCAAGGGCGGGGGTGGGCAGGCAGTAGCCATGGTGGGGGGCATTTCGGAGAAGGCATGGAGATGGGAGATGGGGCCAGTTTGGCTACATGGGTGGGAGGGGAGTCTGATGAGGCTAGAGAGACAGGAGGAGCTCGGGTGGTGAAGGGTGCTAAGGGCCTCCTCCTGGGCCTGGATTAGATTGTTGGAAGTTGAAGGATGACTGACCAGCAACTTCCCTACCCTTTCTGTTCCACTATTCCTCTTGCCCCCAATTCAACAACCACTTGTTGACACCTTCCCTAAAATGCAAAGTCCTGAGGAAGAGACACCCCTCCTTTGGCTAAGATCAAGCCCCTACCCTTGGGCAGTATACCTTCTAGTAGAGGGAATGGAACCATGGCCTAGATGTGGCCAGGGCTTTGCCATCTGGGAGTGGGGGATGGGAAGGGGAGTGGAGGGAGGCTGTTTCTGGAGCGTCTGGTCCACAGACTGAGGGAGAATCGAGTGGCTAATCAGAAGGGGATTGCAGGGATCTCTTTGCTGGTGTTGAGTCAGGAGTCTCTTGCTTTACCCGTGCTTGGATCTGGGTCACAGTTCTGGGTGGCAATCCTGGGGCAAGGAGTAGGGCTGGCATGGTGGCGCTTGTAGTCGAGGTGGAGAGGGAATCCTCCTCACAGTTCCAAGGTGGGAAAAGAGTGCTTGTGGTCACTCATAAACCAGAGCACAGGTCAGGAAAGGAGTAAACACTTCACCCTTGATCATGCCACCTTGGAAGAACTGAAAATTTACAGGTCCCTAGAAGTATCTCTCTCTGATAACAGCTGCACAAAACCTCCGAGGATAGTACATTCTCCACACTGGAAGCAGACCCCTGCCTTAACAAAGAGTTTAAAAGTTAATTGTCTGGGAACATGAGCAAACTGCGTGAAAAAGTCAGACCATAGAGTTTCTTTGGTGACGAAGAAGATCAAAACATACAACCAGAAGAAGACAACAAAGTCAAAGCTCATACATCCAAAGCCACCAAGAAAAATATGAATCAGTCCCAGGCCATGGAAGAGCTCAAAAAGGATTTTGAGAAGCAAGTAAGAGAAGTAGAGGAAAAACTGGGAAGAGAAATGAAAGTGATGCAAGAAAATCATGAAAAACAAGTCAACAGCTTGCTAAAGGAAACCCAAAAAAATACTGACGAAAATAACACCTTAAAAAAATAGTCTAGGGGCAGTTAGGTGGCTCAGTGGATAGAGTACAAGCTTTGGAGTCAGGAGGACTTGAGTTCAAATCTGGCCTCAGATAACACTCACTAGTTGTGTGACCTTGGGCAAGTCACTTAACCCCATTGTCTAGCCAAAAAAAACCAAAATACCAAAAAATAGCCTAACCCAAATGGCAAAAGAGGTCCTTTTAAAAAGTCAATGAGGAGAAGAATGCCTTAAAAAGCAGAATTGGCCAGATGAAAAAGGAAGGCCAAAAGCTCACTGAAGAAAATACTTCTTAAAAATTAGAATGGAGCAAATGGAAGCTAGTGACTTTATGAGAAATCAAGACATTGTAAAACAAAACCAAAAGAATAAAAAAACAGAAGACAATGTGAAATATTTCATTGGAAAAACAACTGACCTGGAAAATAGATCCAGGAGAGATCATTTAAAAATTATTGGATTATCTGAAAGCCATGATCAAAAAAAGAGCCTGGACATCATCTTTCAAGAAATTATTGAGGAAAACTGCCCTGATATTCTAGTACCAGAGGGTAAAATAGAAATTGAAAGAATGCACTGATCACCTGAAAGAGATCCCCAAAGGAAAACTCCTAGGAATATTGTAGCCAAATTCCAGAGTTCCCAGGTCAAGGAGAAAAATATTGCAAGCACCCGGAAAGAAACAATTCAAGTATTGTGGAAACACAATCAGGATAACCCAAGATTTAGCGACTTCTACATTAAGGGACCAGAGGGCTTGGAATATGATATTTTAGAGGTCAAAGGAGATAAGATTACAGCCAAGAATCACCTACCCAGCAAAACTGAGTATAATCCTTCAGGGGACATTTAGTGGAATAGAGGACTTTCACCCAGGAACTGTATGAACATAATTACAAAACACTTTTCACACGAATAAAGTCAGATCTAAATAACTGGAAAAACATCAGTTGCTCATGGGTAGGCTGAGCTAATATAATAAAAATGACAATTCTGCCTAAGCTAATTTACTTATTCAGTGCCATACCAATCAAACTACCAAAAATTATTTTATAGAGTTAGAAAAAATAATAAGATTCATTTGGAATAACAAAAGGTCCGGAATATCAAGGGAACTAATGAAAAGAAATGCAGGGGAAGGTGGCCTAGTCATTCCAGATCTTAAATTGTATTATAAAGCAGCAGTCATCAAAACTGCTTGGTACTGGCTAAGAAATAAGAGTGGTGGATTGGTGGAATAGGTTAAGTATGCAAGACACAGTAGTCAATGACTATAGTAATCTATTATTTGATAAACCCAAAGACCCTGGCTTCTGGGATAAGAACTCACTATTTGACAAAAACTGCTGGGAAAACTGGAAAAGAGTATGGCAGAAACTAGGCATAGACCAAAATCTCACACCATATACCAAAATAAAGTCATGGGTTCATGATTTAGATATAAAGGCTGATATTGTAAGCAAACTGGGAGAGCAAGGAATAGTTTACCTATCAGATTTATGGAGAACAGAAGAATTCATGACCAAACAGGAGATAGAGAACATTATGAAATGCAAAATGGATAACTTTGATTACATTAAATTGAAAAGTTTTTGCACAAACAAAGCCAACGCAACCAAGATTAGAAGGAAAGCAGAAAATTGGGAAAGAATTTTTACAACCAGTGTCTCTGATAAGAGCCTCATTTCTAAAATATATAGAGAATTAAGTCAAATTTATAAGAATACAAGTTATTCCCCAATTGATAAATGGTCAAAGGATATGAGCAGGCAGTTTTCAGATGAAGAAATTAAAGCCATCTATAGTCATATGAAAAAATGCTCTAAATCACTACTGATTCGAAAAATGCAAATCAAAACAACTCTGAAGTACCACATCACACCTATCAGATTGGCCAACATGACAAAACAGGAAAATGATAAATGTTGAAGGAGATGTGGGAAAATTGGAACCCTATTGCATTGTTGGTGGAGTTGTGAAATGATCCAACCATTTTGGAGAGCAATTTGGAGCTATGCCCAAAGGGCTATTAAAATGTGCATACCCTTTGACCCAGCAATAGCACTTCTAGGGCTATAACCCAAAGAGATCATAAAAATGGGAAAAGGACCCATATGTACAAAAATATTTATAGCAGCTCTTTCTTTGGTGGCAAAGAATTGAATACTGAGGGGATGCCCATCAATTGGGAAAAGGCTGAACAAGTTGTGGTATATGAATGTAATGGAATACTATTGTGCTATACAAAATGATGAACAGACTGACTTCAGAAAAACCTGGAAAGACTTGTATGGTCTGATGCTGAGTGAAGTGAGCAGAACCAGGAGAACATTGTACACAGTAACACTCACGTTGTATGATGACTAAAATTGATAGACAACCCTTCTCAGCAATACAAGGATCTAAGACATCTCCAAAGGCCTCATGATGGAAAATGCTATTCACATCCAAGAAAGAACTATGGAGTTTGATTGCAGATCGAAGCATATTATTTGCTATTTTTTTTTCTTCTGTTGTGTTTTGTTTCCTCTTTCTGGTGGTTCCTCCTATTGGTTCTAATTCTTACAACATGACTAATGTAAAAATATGTTTAATAGGGATGTATACGTATAGCCTATATCAGATTGTGTGCCATCTTGGGGAGGGAGGTGGGGGAGTGAGGGGGAGAAAAATTTAAAACTCAAAAACTTATGGAAGTGATTGTTGATAATTCAAAGTAAATTAATTAAAAAACAAAAAAATAGAGGACTTTAAAGCATTCTTGATGAAAAGACCAGAGCTGAATAGAAAATTCGACTTTCAAATACAAGACTCAAGAGAAGCATGAAGAGGTAAACAGGAAAGAGAAATCATAAGGGACTTACTAAGGTTGAACTGTTTACATTTCTGCATGGAAAGATGATATTTGTAACTCATGAGTCCTTTGTCAGTATTAGGGTAGTTGGAGAGAAAAAAAATTATATGGATAGATAGATAGATAGATAGATAAATGGTGGGCACAGGGTGAGTAGAAGATGAAGGGGTGATATCTGGAGAATAAAATTAAGGGGTGAGAGGATTATACTGGGAGGAGGAGAAAGGGAGAGGTAGAATGGGGTAAATTATCTTACGTAAAACAGACTAGAAAAGGCTTTTACAATGGAGGGGAAGTGGGGGAAGGTGAGAGGAAAATGGTATTCATAATGCACACAGTCTTGGGGTGGGTGAGGGACGAAATGGAGAGAAAATTTGGAACTCAAAATCTTGTGGAAGTGAATGTTGAAAACTAAAAATAAATTAATAAAAAAATGAAGGATGAACAACAACAAAAAAAAAAGAAAGGGGAGGGGGCTGTGGGGCAAAGAGGAGGCCTGGGTGAGGCTCCCTGACCACTCCAGCTCCATGACCAAGGGTAACTCATAGGACCATAGACTCGTGAGCTGGGACGGACTTTGGAGGTCATCAGCCCACTCCCTTAATTCTGTTCTATTAATTTCATTTTTAAATTCTAAAACACCAAGTTAGACAAGCACTTCCATTTACAAAATAGAACAGAAATGGGATTGTCCATGAGACTGACTACTAAGTAAAGCTTGCTTTTCCTTTTAAGGATAATTCAATCTGTAACCATCAAAGCTGTCTTGTTTCCTTCTGTTCTCTTCTGAGTATGAAAAAATCCATCAATTACCTTTTTTTGGGCAACCATATC